CAGGGCAGCACCCAGCTCTCCTCAGCCGCCCACCGCGGGGCCATCAAGGGCACCCGCGGGCTGGGCAAGGGCTTGCCGCCGCAGGCGCCCAGGGAGGGTGGCAGGGTGCCCAGGGTAACCCCGTATCCCCCAGGACTGCTCCTCCTCACATCCTTCCTCCTGCACGTGGCGCGGCTGGTCTGCGACAACAGGCTCATCCAGAAGTACATCGGGGAGGCCAAGGACATGGACAAGAGAGCGGTGAGGATACCATCCCCTCCCCAAACCCCAAGGCCAGGGAGGAGCACAGTTCCCGGTCTCTCTCACCTCAGCCTCTCCTCTCCCTTCCCCAGGGCCAGTGCCAGGCGCTGCCTCTCCTCGGCCGCCCCGCGGCACTGCCCTTGGTGGACTTCAGCCTCCAGCAGTGGAAATCCAAATCGGTGAGAGGGGCTGGGAGGATGGGGCTGGCACCGAGGTACCCAGGGGGGCTGGGGAAAGAGCCCCCCGGGTCAGCACAGGCACCAGAAATGCTGAACAAGATGCCTGTGGGTGTACGTGGGGGGTGGAGGACCCCATCCAGACGCAGGGTGGGCAGAGGAACAAACTGGGCTGGGGGAGGGGGCCAGCCCGCTCACTGCCTGCTCCCCCAGAACGAGACCAAGCGGCGGGAGATCCTCTGCGACCTGGCACTGCTGGTGGGTGCCGTGGTGGGAGCCCAGGGCCAGGTGACCCAGGAGTGTGGGACCAGGCAGCTGAGCCAGCTTCACCGCCACGCCAACTCCTTCCTCCTGCTCCTGCAGACCTTCAGCTGGGAGGTGAGACCCCTCCCGCACGAGCCAGGCCTACTTGGTGCAGATGCCAGCTGCGCTGGGCACAATGGTTTTGTCACACCCGCCCTGTCCCACTGTCACCCCTCAGGCGGGATCCTGGGAGCCGGGCTGCTCCCCACGCTCCACGGAGGAGACCCACGTCACCAGTATCTTCCTCACCTACCGCTGGCTGGTGCAGGGCAAGCTGCGATTCTTCTTCCACGACCTGGCCAAGGACTTGTGCAAGCAAGGCCAGGGGGGTGGCAGAGACCCCTGGCCTGGGGCCCAATGAGGCTGCACACAGGCTTCACCCCTGTTCCCAGGTCAGAGCAATCCTGCCGGCCACTGAGCTGTGCTCTGGGTGCCCAGGAAGGTGTCCACAGGAAAAGGGTTGGCTCCTGGCCCTCGAGCCTTTGGCACACAGAAGCAGCCAGCAGGCAGAGACCCTGCTCCCACCCAGACAGACACCTCTACTGTGAATGCTTTACAATAAAGAGCTATTTTTCTAACGGGTCTTTGTGTTCCACTTTCCCCATCGCCACTGTGGCCCTGGCAAGGGAATCGCACCCCCCAGGAGCCCTCGGTTAGAGGCAGCCCCTCGGGGATGCGCTCCGGGTCCCTCCCCAGTGCCCAGCTCCCTCCCGCGGCAGCCGCCAGCTCTGCAGGGTGCAATCCCCAAGGCAGGTTTGGACTGCCCTTCCTTTGGGAAATTCCCTCTGCCTACTCCCACCCCTACTCCGGGCACAGGCACACCCCGCTCCCTGCCAGCCTCACCTCTCAGCCAGCAGAGCCAGACGTAGAAAAACCATCCCAATTTAATCGAGAACAAGCCCGGCTGCCTCAGGAAGGATCCTTAAGGAATGGCTGCCAGCCCCGAGGCAGACAAGTGGCCTTGTCCCAGTCCAGCTGCCCCTGGCCAGAGCCGGGGCTACGCCCACTTTTGGAGCACAGGAAGGCAGAGGTGGGACACCTCACCTCAGGACTGTGGAGCACCCAGCACACCTTCCACTCGGCCGTCTGGCACATCTCTCCGTGCAGGAGGCAGCTGCAGATCCCAGCAGGAGTCAGAACAGGCTGGGATGAGGAGAGGGACTGCTTCCTCCTCCCCAGCTCCGGAGGGGCCAGGCAGCATGGATGCCGGGGAAGGATTTGGAGTCACAGGGCTCCTGTTTGCTCGCCAGCAGAAGATGCCGGGGCAGCCCACGGAGGCAGGAGGGCTCCTAGAAGGCCAGCTTCTTCATCAGCAGGTAAACTCGAGAGTCCACTTCAAACCCATGCAGGTTGTTCGCGTCTCCCTGCAGACGCATAAGCAGCCCCCCGTAGGACACGTAGGCAGAGCTGGGGTGGGAGGAGAAGGAGCGGTGAGAGCGAGGAATCCCACGGGAGACCGGGCTGAGACCCCCGACACCACCCCAGGGCAGCGCGTCTCCCCCTGCTCCCGCTGACAGGCACTCACAGGCGTGTGGCGGCTTCCGTGGAGGTCTCATCCCCTTCAATCCGGTACACCTTGCCGTACATCACGTACTCAAACTGGTCCGCCCTGCGACGGGATGGCAAGAGTTCAGAGAAGAGGCAAACCTGGGCACGCCCTCAGCTGAGCATCCTTCAGGAGAGGGTACTCACACCCCCTAAGTGCTTCACCTTTTCCTCCTCCACCCTCACAGGGGTGCTAGCTGAACCCCGTACCTGGACGGCCTGTCATCCGTGGGGTTGTACTCGCCGTCATCCAGGGTGCCATCTTCGTACAAGGTGCTGGCGATGACCAGGCGGAACTTGTCCCCTGAGAGAAGAAGGCAGAGAAGTGGTGAGAAGGCGGGAGGGAGCACAGCCAGAGCAGCAACGGCCACAGCAGGTCTCTGGGTGGTGAGAAGGAGCCACCATGGCAGGTTTAGCACAAACCCCATCCCTGCCTCCAACAGGATTGTGGGGAACGAGGAAGAAATAGCATCAGATCCTCTGTCTCCCTGTTCCCCAGACATCCTGCTGGCTCTGGTCTTCTCCACGGTGATCAACACCATAGCTGGTATTTTCATGGGACACAGCAAGAGGTTCACAAGGAAAAGTCCCAGAGGTCTTAGTGAGACTCTGCAGTGCCAGTTCTAGCCCTCCTGCGCTTCACTGAGGGCAAGACCCTATTTTCCAACCGTTTAGTATATTTAGCCACAGAAGCTCACTTCAAAAGGTCTCCCTTAAAGCTCGGCTGCCACCAGCTGCGGCAGTTTCACTGCATAGCACCTCTGGGAAATGGACCAGAGATAAGGCCAAACAAACACAGCAAGGCAAACCAGAACGCAGCTCCGCCCCAGCACACTGAGCCTACCTGCTACCTTCTGTGAGCTGGAGGAAGCACAGGGGCCCAAGAAGCCTGAGACAGCTCTTTCCTTGCTCACAGCAAATTCAGTCTCCCTCCTCTCCTCTGCACAGCAGCACGCGCCTCTAAAACCTTGCTCCTGCAAGCCAACCCTGCACACTCTAGATTAGATGGTGGCTTACCGAGGTCCACGGGGTAGATCTGGATGTTCACGTCCAGGATAAGGTCCATCTTGAAGGACTCACTCTCGCAGTGCAGACGGGACACTGGGGAGAGCAACAGAATCAGGGACAAGAACGAGAACAGAGAAAACCCCCAGGGACTGGGTGGGAACAGGGTTGCAGGCGTTCTTGTGCCACAGGCTGACATCCAGCTATCAGGGGTGGAAGGGGTGCGCAGGGTTCAGGGATGTAGGCCAGAGCCTGGAAGCAAGACTGAAGCATGCACCGGCCGGGAGAGGAACACGGTGAGGAGAGACAGGGGGCACACCGGGGGTGTGGAGGGGCACAGCAGCCGGGCTGGGGAAGCAGGGCGCACCGTGTGCCAACACACGGCAGGGTCGGTGCAGGCGATGGCGAGAGGACGGGGTACAAGGGTCGCGGCTGTCGGGAAGGGCGGAGGAGGGAGCGGGACAGGCCGGGGGAGCGAGCCGGGCTGAGAGAGGGCACA